TTTTTTTTTGGTACCGGGGATTGAACTTGGGTCCTTGTGCTTGCGCAGCAGGCAGCGAAACCACTGAGCTAAATTCCCGGCTCCTCAATATAGTTTTTATTGTATCTCATTTCCTAGCTCTATAAGGAGAGTTACACACCACACACACACACCCCCCCCACACACACACACAGAGCAGCCACCCACTTTATCATCATGCCCATACCAAACCTCCAATACCTTCTTTAAAATGACTGAAGATAGTGTAACAATACAAAATAATGTTGATCACAAATTATTGTGAAAGAAGAAAAATAAATTTTATGACTGAGTTTAAAAAGATGAAGAGAACTGGGCATGGTGGCACATGCCTGCAATCCTAGCACTCAGGAGGCTGAGGCAGGAGGATACCCAAGAGTTTGAGGTCATAGCAAGACCCTGTCTCAAACAAAACAAAACAAAACAAGATAAAGGGAAAGACTATGAAAAGGTATCCCAAGTGTGTCAATAATGGCTATGTACAGTCTGAAATTTTTTCACATTTCCAAAATGTTCATAATATATATAATATAATATCAGGACCTTCACTTGTGAGGTAGGCGTGGTGACACTGAGCTAAATTCCCGGCCCTACAATATATATAATTTTAAAAGAAAAATAATTTTTTATTTTTTATTTTTATTGTTTTGGTACCGGAGATCGAATTCAGAAAAATAATTTTTAAAAAACCCACATCTCTGAATATGGAATCCCACAGTTTCCAAAGACCAGCTTGATTCAGGCTTTATCGCATGGGGGCAGATACAGCAGTTTTTAAACCGTCAGGCCTTTTGTTGGAGAAGGAAGGGCAGAAGGCGGTTATGTCTCTGTAGTCTCTCAGACTAGTCGCATAATTGAAGTGCACTCCCCTGGCGTGGTGGCATATGCCTATAATCCCAGCACTTGGGAGGCTGAGGCAGGAGGACTGCTGCGAGTTCAAGGCCAGCCTGGGCTACACGGTCAGTTCAAGGCCTAACACAAAGCAAGACTCTTTCCCTAAAAACAAACAAAAAATAAATGAATACATTAAATGCCTCCTCCCCACTGTATCTCCCCTGTGAAATGGTAGAGAACGACATAATCAGGCCGCTGAACTGCGGCAGCGCGGTCGCAAGGGTCCTGGGTTTCCCGCCCGGCAGAGGGCGCTCTGGATGCGGCCAGCCTCTGGCCCACGTAGGCCCCGCCCCTGGCCGCCGCTGTCTGTCCCTCCCTGCCCCCGTCCCGCCCAGGTCCCCGCCCAGCTCACCCAAGCCCCGCCCACGGCCCCGCCATCACGTGACGGGTCCCCCTCTTGGCGGTCGCGGTGGCTGCCGCGCGGTAGTCATCATGGGGGTGGCGCCGCGGAGCTGTCCGGTGCCGCGGTGGCTGCTGCTGTTCCCGCTGTTCCTGGGCCTCAGTGCGGGTAGGTTCGGCAAAAGGCGCACCAGCGGCCGGTGCCTCCTTCTGTCTGGGGGAGGGGGGATTTTGTTAGTGGCTTTGCGTTTTTAAAAACAAATTTCTTTCCCCTGGTTCTTACCTTGCTTAATTCATGTTGCTTTTGAACCTCACATCTTTTTTTTTTTTTTTTAATTTAAGTGCCAACCTGGACTGCATAGCGAGACCCTGTCTCAAAAACAAAAAAAGTATGACTGGAGAAACTGCTGATTGGTGATTTTTCAGTCTTCATTCAGCAGTCTGGCTCCTGGTCTGAATCAAGAACTGAGAGAAAGTAGCCACAGAGTTGCCTTGTGACCTTAGCGAAGTTGCTCAACAGTTCTTCTCATTAGTAAAATGGGCTCATCTGGCCCTATAGCTTGTGTCTGGCATGTGTAAAGTAAGCTACCCCCCACATTTTAACAGTGGGCACTGCAAGGGAAGGGAGAGGTGCCAGGATTAAGAGGGACTGGTGTGAGCCTCATTTGACACTTACTTTTTTGTTGTTGTTTTTGTTTTCTGAGACAGGGTCTCAATTCACTGTGAATTTGCTTGCATCAATCCTCCTGCCTCAGCCTCCCAAGTAATGTGATTACCAGCACTCACTACCATGCCCAGCCCTTGTTTTTCAGGGACTCCAGCCTTATCTGTCATTTTCAAGGAGACTATAATCTCACATTACTTTATAGACTCTTGTAGCCGTATCTGTAATTTTCCAGCCATTCTGTTTCACTTCCTGGTTTTCTTTTCCTTTTATTCTTTTTTCTTTCTTTTTTCTTCCTGGTTAAAGAGGCTTGAAATTTGAGAAAGGAAGAAGTAGAAGGCAGAAAACTCGGTCACTGGGTACTCTCTTCTCATCATCTTTTCTTTTCTTTTGAGGGGTCTCATTATGCTGCCCAGGTTGGCCTTGAACTCCTGGGCTCAAGCATTCCTCCTGGCTCAGCCTTCTCAGCAGCTAGGCTACAGGCATTTCCTACCACACCTAGCCTGTCATCTTTTAACATCAGCGTTTTTTGTTTTTTGTTTTTTTTCTTTTCAGTATCAGGAATCAACTCAGGACCTTGCACTTGCCAGGCAAGCACGGCACCACTAAGCTAAATCCCTGGCCCTGTTTTCTTTCTTTCTTTTTTTAATAATCAACCGATGGTTTTGAGAAAAATGATACTGTAGTTTGAATGTTGTTACTTCAGCAAAAGGTGACATAGAAAATGTACTTAGCCTGAGCTGCGTGTGGTGTGGTACATACCTGTGAATGTTGTTACTAAAGCAAAAGGTGACATAGAAAATGTACTTAGCCTGAGCTGTGTGTGGTGGTACATACCTGTGATCTCAGCATTTCAGAGACTGAGGCAGGAGAACTTTGAGTTCAAATCCAGCGTGGGCTGCTTATTGAGACCCTGCCTCAGACAAACAAAAAGTATTTATTTAACCTGTCCTTTTCCAGTAAATATTTTACAGATGTTAGAAAAGTTAACTAAGGAAAATTAGAGTTGGAGGATCACAATTTTTTAAAAAATCATTGAGTTGGAAAAGTAGTTCAGTGGTAGAGCACTTGCTCTGCCTATGTAATGCCTTGCGTTTGATCCATAGCACTGCAAACGCAAAAACAAAAGAAAACAGAACAACAAAAACATCACAGAAAGGTGTAGAGGAAAAAGTGGCACTATTGCTATGGCATTATTCCATTCGGCTTCTTTTTCATGACCAAGGTTCTATTTTTCTTTATCCCCACAGTATATGGGGGCAGGTAAATTGCCCAGAATATCAAATATTCTTAGGTTGCATGGCCATCTACAAGGTTTGGAATCTGCTTGGATGTTAGACCTTTCCCCAAGGAAAATGACTGTGGGCTTCCTTTTCAGGAGCTGTCATTGACTGGCCGGCACAAGAGGGCAAGGAAACATGGGACTATGTGACTGTCCGCAAAAACGCCCACATGTTCTGGTGGCTCTATTATGCCACCAACCCCTGTAAGAACTTCTCACAGCTGCCCCTGGTCATGTGGCTTCAGGTAAATGGTTCCTTCCTGACCTTAGGTTGAGGCCCCTGTTTCCCACTCTTATCTCTGCTTGCTCACAGCTCCATGGTGGAGGGCTGATTGGTCCAGCAGCCAGGCCTGGGGCTTTGGTGTCCTTCTAAGGCAGGGTGAGGCAAGGGAGCCACCTGTGTGCTGAATCACAGGGGGAAAGGGGCCCAGCCTTTTGCCGGGATCTTTTTATGCTGAGTCCAGACAGTTGCAGGAAACTATGAAAGCTGCTGGTAACGTGTTTGACTTTATACCAACTCTATACTGATAGAAACTGTTTAGAAAAGTTCCAAAGCAAAGACGGAAGCACCTCAGTCCCTCTCCTCCCACAATCCTTTCTTGGACCTTAAGGTCTTGCCCTGCAACAAGATGGTTCTTAACATCTTGCCCCCCATCTTTTGAAAGAATTGCTACCAGCCTTTTAGCCGTTTGCATCTTAGTGTGAACATGAGGCTCCAGCCTTTCCCTAAGTGAGTTTGCATCTTTGTTTTTTGAGACAGGGTCTTGCTATGTAGTTCAGGCTAGCCTTGAACTCACTATGGAGTCCAAGCTGTCCTTGAAGTCATGGCAATCCTCTTGCCTCAGCCTCTTGAGTGCTGGGATCACAGGCATGTGCCACCACACCTGGCTGAGTTTGCATTTTCCCAATGATTTCTGAAGGGAGGCCAGGAGCTTCCTGAACTGTGTTTAGGGATAGGCAGAGGTCCTTCCTGCATTCCTGAAATATCTGTCCAGGGCTACAGGCATTTGCCACCCACCCCAGAGATGGGTAGAGGAATAGGGTCTTGCTTTATCCTCAGGCAGCACCCCACGCCTACCCCGGGGGTCCAGGTGGCTCACCAATAAACAGGATACCCTGGTACTCATCTCCGTGGACCCAGCTGGGACATCCTCCAGACTCACCCCTGGGTCCCGGCTTTGACTTCCCAGCCCCGCTGCAGACTTCTTGCTGGGATAGAGTGCAGATGGACAGTTTGCAAGGAGGGACCTTTCTCTCTTAGGATCTTCACATCGCCCTCTTCTGGGGCAGTGTGTGGGGCTGCCTCTGAGGCCTCAGGGAGGAAAATTCGAGGAAAGCCCTAGTGTCAGCCCAGGTCAGCACTAGAGAGCTGGGCCTGGACAAGCTGAGGCCTGCTGGGTGGGAAACCTGGGTTTTTATTGCCTCCCTGCCCGTTTTAACCATGGTAAGACACTGCCCTTCTCTGGGCCTTCATTTTCTAAATCAGGGGGATTTGGGTGGTTTTCAAACTTTTTGTTACTCAGCAGGACTTTTGTTCACATCCAGTGAAATCTCACATTTGGCAGCTACAGCAGAGCAAAGCAGAAGTGCTGAGGCTGGGGTGGGACAGGGTGAGGTGTCCTATGTATGTGGCCTCCTCTTTGTCCCTGGATGCCCCCTGGGTACTTTCCTGGCTTTGCAGAAAACAATTTGGAAAAACAACTGAATTTCAGAAATTGCGATCTGTTCCTGGATTAACTGCAGAGTTGTTTAAACTGAATTAATTCTCTGTGCTTTAAAACCAAGACGTTTCCTTCCTCTAACCAAAAATTAGGAGATGTAGTATCTTGGGGCCCAAGCTGTGTCCTCAAAGCTGAGTGGTACAGTATCCCCCTCTCAATGAGGACAGGGGATCTGGGGGATGTAGAACTGCTAGTCCCATCTGATTTTCTGTGCTCTTTTCAAAATAGCCTCTGCCTGGCCCTGGAAGCCATCTAGTTTGTGACCTTCTCTGACGTTAACCTCTGAACTTAGAGGCTCTGTGAAACTCAGCAGCTGAAGACACAGTTGTTCTTCTGTCTTTCCCCAGAGGCCCAAGGGAAAAGGGGGAAAAATGATTATGAAAGAAACAATTAATTTAGATGAAAGGAGATCCATTTTAGCAGCCTGTCAAGGAGCTATCACCTCTTCTGGGTGGGGAATCTTTGCGAATTGAGGTCATGTCGTGAATGGAGTAGCAAGCCATTTTAGGAAGACTTCAAGCCATCGAAGTGTTTCATTTGGTCCACTGACACATTTACCATCTTTCCAAGTCCCCAGGTAGCCCTGGGCTCCAGTAGTAACCCCTCCCAAAGTTCTGCATTAAAGATTTTGCAATCTTTTTTTGTGTTCAGATAGAATCGAAGCTTGCTGCCAGTCTCTCCTTGCCGCCATGGGGAGAGGGGAAGGGGGAGTCAACTGCCGCCACTCTTGCTTCCCAGAAGCAGCCTGGGGAGTGGGATTTCTCCCACAAAGACCCGGCCTGGCCCGGCCCATAGGATGTTCAGTTTCCCAAGCCTTTCACTTTGATCCTGCCTATCTTGTTAAGCTCACTAAGAAAAAAGGGCCCGGCTTTCATTGAGGGTACATACTTGCTTTTAATTTATTGCATAATGCGTATTGCATTTTGCTGCTGGAGCATTTTCTAATGTTGCCATGTAATCTTTCATAGTTTGTGATTCCAAATGGCATCATTACGCCTCCTGCGGATGTGATTTACTAACCCATTTCGCTACTTCAGGACAGTGGAGCTGTGTCCTTACTGTCATTGGTGTTGCTCTAAATGGCTCTCCGATGAAGGTCTCCAACTGGTTTGTGAACTTTTTCCTGCCCTGTTAGGAAATCTTAGGCTCCCCTTCATCACAAAGTGCGCAGAGCCTCTGATCTTATCACCCAGCTCAAAATGTGCGTGTGGGCGGCCTCTCCCTGCTGGGGTCTCCTGCTGTGTCCAGCCAGCCCCCGGCAGCAGCCTCCCTCTGTCCTTTTCTTTGCTTTAAATTTCCCTCGGCAAATTGGCCTGTCTTCTGTTGGGCTGCTGCAATCCCTTTCAGCTTTTCTTCTCTCCCTTTCCCTCCCATCCTGCTGTGCAGGGAGAGACTGGTTCTTTTATTCTAGGCCCAAGGCCTCTCCATCCACCCAGGCTGATAATGCTTTTCCCATTGCCCCCTTTCCGAAGTTTAGCCAGCCCTTTCAATTTTGCCAGAAAAACTCTTCTCCCTTGACTGTCTCCTGAAGAGCTTCTTCACAAGACCACCAGAAGGTCCACCCCCCGCCTCTCCTCCCAGCCCAGCCAATCAGAGCCATAGAAATCCTCCCATGGTGCTTTGGGGTCTCCAACACCATGCTTAAGTCCAGACTCCTGCCTGTCTCCCACTCTGGATGTCAACAGTAGCAGGTGCCTGGGACTTGCACATTTACTGTTTTATATAAGGAGAACTGGCTTGACCGAACTGTGCTCTCGGTCCCTTTGTCAGTCCACAGGGGCTCAGAAGAGAGAGAGAGTCTCCCAGTTTTGCGGAGGAGAAAAGGTTCAGCAGCCCAGAGTCGAGTCTTGGAGAACCCCCTCATTGCTGGGTTGTCGAGCCTCAGCCACCGCATCCCCCCTCTGGGCCTTGCTGCCCTTTCATGGAAAGGGGTTAGATGAGGTGCTTCTGAAGGGCTCTTCCAGCAGGGTGACCCAGCTGTCACTAAATCATAAATTGTTTCTAGTGAATGTGGTCATCCTTTGTGGCAAATAAGAATTGACTAAATTTTCTGTGGGTTTTTGTCTCGTTTCTTTCTCTCTCACAGGGTGGTCCAGGCGGTTCCAGCACTGGCTTTGGAAATTTTGAGGAAATTGGACCCCTTGACCGTGATCTGAAACCACGAAGAACCACCTGGGTACCGTGAGGCAGCCCCCACCTGCACCTGCCCAGTAGCCTCTCAGGCTGGGCCCCACCTGGTCCCGGGTGGGGGCTGGGGCACAGATCTAGCACCCCACCGCAACACCTTTCCGGAGGCTTTGGGCACCTGTCTTCTCTAGCTGGGCTTCTCCCGTGTCTCAAGACAGCATACCCAACAGGCATTTCCTGTCTTCTCCACGCTGCCCGGAAACCTGCTCTGGCTGACACCTGGGACCCTTTCCTTCCCAGCAACCTCATTCTTCTCGTTCTACTTCCTTCCCAAGCTCACCCTCAGTGCCCTACTCAGCCCCGACTTCCAGATGTGCAAAACCACACATCAGCGGGTCGGGCTGTTGCACAACTGTAGCCTCTGCCGGGACACCGCCACCTTTGCTGTGTGCCCCTGCTCCGCCCTCCCCAGCAGCAGCTGTCACTGGGAGTGTTCTCTGCTGTCCTCCAGCTGCTCCCTCCCATCAGAAGCTCACCACCCGGTCTTCCTTTGTGTACTTCCTCCTCTCTTGTCCTGGGCTGCTCCTATGCTTGCTATTTGGTAGCAGTAGCAAGGGCCCCACTAGCTGATCCCCAAGCCTCCTAGATTTAAGGCCAGTGAAGCTACAGCAAAGAGCCTGAATGAGGGGTGAGGAGCCCAGGGTCCAGTCTTGGTCCTGCTGTCACCTGTCCAACTTTGTGACCTTGGACGAGCCCTGGCCCCTTTCAGGGCTAAGATTTCTGACCACTGAAGAACATGGCTAGACTGTTCCATCAATGCGGGTCCTTTCAGGTACAGAATTTTTTTTTTTTTTGAAACAGGGTTTTTGCTGTGTAGTTCAGGTTGGCCTTGAAGTCACTGTGTAGCCCAGGATGGCCTCAAATTAGCACCAATCCTTCTGCCTCAGCCTCCCAAATGTTGAGATTGCAGGTGTGCGCCACCACACCAAACCAAGTGCAGAATTTTTAACTCTCCACCTCTTTGGAAAAGGTGGTAGAATAAAGTGTATCCCTGCAGTGGACAGGGAACCCAGGCCCATGTGGAAATTGACTCATCTGGAAGCTGTGTGATGTCCATACCTCAAGGAGACCCTCACAGCTCCGGGTGACTGCTCGGCTTGACTCTGCCCCGTGTAGCCTGCACTAGCATATTCTGGGACCTGTAGTGCACTTGTGTTCCTGAAAGGGCCCGGTGCAGAGTCTCTGATCCCCAGGTTCCTGTTCATCTTTGCTTTTTGCCTTGTCCTGTCTTGGCTTAGGTCTGTGTTCCTATCTCTTTTTAAAAAATCCCTTCTAACAACAAGTTGGCGTCCCCACACTGCTGTCACCACATATGTGGTTTTGCTGAGCTCTATGGTAGGAAGCTAATCGCTGAGCTGCCAGTTGATTGCAACATTCTCCTCTGTGGCATGTAGCTCCAGGCTGCCAGCCTCCTCTTCGTGGATAACCCCGTGGGCACTGGCTTTAGTTATGTGAACACGACTGATGCGTATGCCAAGGACCTAGCTACGGTGGCTTCTGACATGCTGGTCCTCCTGAAGACCTTCTTCAATTGCCACAAAGAGTTCCAGGTAAACAAGAACTCGGGAACAACTAAGTAAAGGAGAGTAGGAACATCAGTAATATATTCTCCAGACTGAATGTCAGCTTCCCCAAGAGTCTGCTGCCTGGTGGATTTCAGAGAAACCCCTTTTACTCCCAAGATTGAGTTGTGGGCTTTTGCTTAAAGATAGTCTTTAAGCCAGGCATGGTGCCACATGCCTGTAATCCCAGCACTGGAGAAGCTGAGGCAGGAGTTTGAGGCCAGCCTGGGCTACCTAGTGAGGTCAAGGCCAGCCTGAATTGCATATCGAGACCTTTTAGCTTGAAATAGTGATTGTGGAATCAGTATTCTAATCATATATGGGGAAAAACACAGAAGCAGGCTTGTTTTGTCTGGCTATTACACGCAATAGAGATTTGTAATTACTTTGTGTAAATGAAAAGGCAATCACAGTGTTTAATTCTTTGTAAATACTTTTTCTTTTTAGACAGTTCCATTCTATATTTTCTCAGAGTCCTATGGAGGAAAAATGGCTGCTGGCATTGGTCTGGAGCTTTATAAGGTAAGAGGGAAAATGCCTTTGTTGCCATGGATTTGGACAGAACACTGATTATGGTACCTTTTGCATTCACTTGATACGGGATGTACTTTGAATGGAGCTTTGTACATGCAGAGTGGAAGTAAGTCTTAGTAATAGCACTCGGGGCTGGTGATGTAGCTCAGTGGTGGAGCACTCGTCTAGCGTGTCTGAGGCCCAAGCTGGACTCAAACTTGTGATCTTCCTGCCTCAGCCTCCCAGAGTGCTAGGATTACTAGTATGCACCACCACACCCAGCAGTGTGTGCTGTAAAATAAATAGAAGGAGCACAGCGGCCTGAGTTTCTTATCTTAAGGCTCCATCTTCCAAGATGTCCTGCAGATGCCTCCAGCCCTTCAGTGACCTCCTATGCAGCATCCAAGCACCTTGGGAGAATCATAGCCCTCGGGGAGGCTGGTGGTGTTGCTCCCAGAGGGGACAGACCCACCTCCCGTGCACAAGGCTGAGAGATGCTGAGCAGCCAGGAGACAGCCACCCTGGCTCCTGGCTGGCCCTGTGATCTTCTGGTGGCCAGGGAATCTTGCAAGGGTGGCGGAAGTTTGCGCTCAGCAAAGGCAGCGTGTAAAGCTGATCCTTGCTGTGGAAGAGATGGAACCGCCGGCTACCCTTGGCTACACCGCTTCTTGATTCCTCTTTCAGGCTGTTCAGGAAGGAATCATCAAGTGCAACTTTTCTGGGGTAGCTTTGGGCGATTCCTGGATCTCTCCTGTTGGTAAGTATGCAAGTTTCAGGCATTTCTTCCCTCCCACTTCCTGGGACTTAGGATTGTGTTGTCCAGGTCAGGGAACGAGGCAGCAGAGATTTCTGGGTCCTGGGAGAAGTCAGCATAGAACGTGCTCCTCCCAGAAGCCTCCAGGAAGCATCAGGTGAGAACTTGTTCTCAGAGCACCCACCACTGGCTGGACTTCTCTTTTTTGAGTCTCACAACAAAGGAATTGAATTTTGCAGTTGGAAATGTTGCGAAGGCTCAGAGAGGTGCTGAAATGCAGCCTTTGACACACAGCATAGGCTGCCTAGCAAGGATTCCAAGTCAGGCATGGGCGAATCGCGTTGTCCACTTGTCCGCCCCACCACCCTGATGCTGGTATGAGTCCTGGGAGTGACATTTCCACCTGCTCCTCATGTTGCAGGCCGGACAAGGTTGTCATCCGGTCTCGCAGCTCATGGGTCCAAGTTTCACAACCACACATCCCTGTTGGGAGCCCAGAGAGCAGGTGACTGTGTTGAGATGTCGGGTGTGGCTTCAGACATCAGCAGAACTCATCTTGGTGGGGCTGATGTTCCAGGGCGTCTCGGCCTCAGCACTGTGACACCTGGGGTAACCCTTGCTGCCTGTGCTGTCCTGGGCATTAGAGGGTATTTGTAAGCAGCACCCCTGGCCTCTGCTGTGAGGTATCATCAGCACCCCCTGTGTATGACAGAAGGGTCTCCAGGTGTCCCCTTCAGGAGAACATCACTCTTGGTGGGGAGCTGCCATTCTCACCTAACAAAAGGTGACTTTTCACAGGCAAAACCAGACTTGAGTGTGAGAAATGGGAAAAGAAGGTGGCTGTGGAGGAGGGGAGGAGCTGAGCAGGGACTGAGAAGCACGTTCTAGGCTGCTGGGGTCCCACGCCTTGACCAGGTGGTGGCTGCATGGGCGTGAACGTCGATCGAAACATCGAAAGGTGCATTTGTAATTTGTGATGTGTGATTATGGCTCAACTTTGGAAAATAATGATTTATAGGGCCTGGGATTTAGCTCAGTGGTTCTACGGCCTGCCTCGCACCCACAGGGTCCCAAGTTTGATCCCCTGTACCAAAAAAAAAAAAATTTAAAAATTAAAATTAGAAAATGACTTATAAAAGGTAATATTTTCCTCCCAAAAGATGAAGATTTGGCTTGTGACAGAGCTGGGTCTCCGATGGATTTGGGGTATTCTCAGGCCCCGTAGAATGATTGTTTCTTGGGCTGGGGATTTAGCTCAGTGGTGCCACGCCTGCCTTGCAAGTGCAAGGTCCTGAATTCGATCCCTGGTACAGAAAGAAAAAAAGAAAAGAATGATTGTTTCTTGCCCTCCTATGACCTGCAACTCAGAGGTCTGAGTTTCATAACTGAACATCCTCATTGGGTGCACAAACAAGACCTGTCCATGATTCACAATGATAGTGCTGGCCCTCACACTTCCGGTGGGGTGTTATCACAGTTTCAGCACAACACTAACATTTTGCATGTAGTAACTTCCTTTGACCCTTAGCAAATTCCAAAGGGGAGATGCTGTTATTATACTAATGACAAAAACAGATGACGAAACTGAGACTCAGAGAGGTTAAGCAACTTTCCTAGACTTGCACAGCTACAGTAATAAAGCTGAGATTGAAACCAGCCAGCAGGTGCTGGAATATGGGCACTGACCACTGGTCTACATGGCCTCTGCCAGATGGGTAGCCTCATAGTTCAGTAAGTGCTGTTTCTCCTGTCCAGAATCTACCTTTTTTCTTCTTACCATGACCCACCTCACTTTATGAATCTACCTGTCCAGATCTTTTTGTTTGTCTGTTTTAAGATAGGATCTCAGTATATAGTTCAGGCTGGCCTTGAACTCACTATGTAGCCCCAGCTGGCCTCCAATTCATGGTGATCCTCCTGCCTCAGCCTCCCAAGTACTGGGATTACAAGCATGTGCCACTATACCTGGCTTTAAGCATCTTTTTTTTATTCAGTGTCACCCCTCCATCCTCAAAGCATTCTTTTTTGAGGAAAAAGTACTGTTAACTTCCATGAACGACTGTTGATAGCAGGGACCCACCCAGCTAGGTGTTAGACAAAGACACGCATCTTCAAGAAGGATTTGGTGTTGCACAGTTGCTAAGCACACAGGGTGGTTTCGGTATTTCAGCCCCTAGCCACACACGGCTGTGTAAGTCAAAATGAATTAAAATTCTGATTTCAGTTTTTCAAAGGCACTGGCCACCTATCAGATGCTCAGCAGATGCGTGCAGCTGTGGCCCATCCTTGTGGACCACACAGATGCAGAGCATTTCCAACACTGCAGAGAACTCTACTGGGCAGGCTGGGTCTGCGTCAGAGGTTGGCACCCAGTCCTGCCGGCTGCCTCAGTGAGTAAGGTTTTTATTTGAGCGCAGCCGTGCTGTCCATTTACACACTGTCTATGGCTGTTTGGAGGCTTCAAGGACAGAGTTGAGGAGTTTCAACAAAGACCACAGCGAGCAGGCAGCTCCAGGTTATTCATGTCTGTCCCTTTACAGAGAGTTTGCCAGTCCCTGGTCCAGATCAAGCAGGGGATGAGACCCTCTGGAGAACTGCAAATGATTCTGAGCCAGGTGTAGTGGTGCACACCTGTGATCCCGGCACTCTCGAGGCTGAGGCAGGAGGATCCTGAATTCAAAGCCAGCCAGGGCTAGAGTTTAAGGCCAGCTCAGACTGCGTAGTAAGATCCTGTTTTGTTTTTTTTTAAAAAAACAAACAAAATACACCAGGTGATTTTACATTTCAAGAAACTAAGGCACGGGCTTGAAAGTTAAGCTGGAGAGGTGCGTGCCGGCTGGGTCACAGATCTGTTACACCTGTGTTTCTCAGAATTATTTCTGAAGAGTACCAGCCCTGTGAGTACCCCACGGAGGGGTCTGCTCACGTGAGTTTTGCAAATGGTAGACACTGGCTTCAACGCTTCAGGGTCCATAGGTACTTTAAGGCATAAAGAAATGTATTGTATGGGGCCGGAGATTTAGCTCAGTGGGGTTTCGCCACCTGTTGTGCAAGCACAAGGACCCGAGTTGGATCCCTGGTACCCACCTCCAAATAAATAAATAAATAAATATATTGTATGGTGGATGAGCCCAAAGCATTTAAGCACATGATCATTTTTCCTAATACCTAGATTAAAAACCTGCAGAACAGATTATTGATGCATATTTCAAGAGATCTGGCTGAAGGGAGCCATTGAAAGTCTCTAAGCAAAGAAGGACATTCTCAGATGTGCTTTATACAGTGAGACCCTTGATACTTTTGCTTGTTTTTTTGTTTTTTTGTTTTTTTGGTACCGGTGATTGAACTTTTGCTTGTTTTTGAGACAAGGTCTTCCTCTGTATTCTAGGCTGACCCCAAATTTGTGGCGATCTTCCTGCCTCAGCCTCCTGAGTGCTAGGATTGCAGGTGTGTGCCACCACACTTGGCAAGACCCTTGATACTTTTTCTTTTTGGTACTGGGGATTCAAACTCAGGACCTTGTGCTTGCAAGGCAGACGCGGTGCCACTGAGCTAAATCCGCAGCACCCTTGATACTTTTTTGACACACCTCTCGTGCCATTTGTCTCACCAAGTGATGGGACAGCTGTGAACTTACCCAGCCCAGCCCGCTGTTGTCTTGCTCTGCCTTGCTGTTGTCAGGCACTGTCTTGCTCCTACTTATCTCTCCTGGAGCTGTTTGCTGCCCCTAGGTCTTTAGGAGCTCCTGAGCATGGCAGTGAAATAGAACTGAACTAGGTGGCAGGATGGCCATGACACTGAAGTTACAAACACGTTAGGCTTCTTCCTTAAATAGAACAAACAGGATACAGAGCAGAGATGTGAGGGCGGGGAAATATTTTAAGCTGTTAAGAAGCCTAGAAGAGTGCAGATCCGGGCCTCCACCTGCACACCCACTGCCTGCCTCTGGGGACGCATCACTGGCTGTGACGCCTTCACTGGCCTGGGTCAGGTCACAGGAGTGTGCCGGGAGTGCCTGGAGGCAGAAGAAACAGCCCCAGCCCTCATCCCAACCTCCGGCCACCGAGCCCACCTCCTGCATGGGCGGTGGCTCAGGAGCCTCAGAACTGAAGCCCCTGCGAGTCTTGCTTTGGAGGGGAGCCCTCTGTGCAGTGCTCTTGGGTGGTCAGAGCCACCACACACTTAATTTGTACCCATGTGATTTGCTTCAGATTCGGTGCTGTCCTGGGGACCTTACCTGTACAGCATGGTAAGTGGGAGGGTCCTCGCCTCTGCCTCCTTCCTGGCAATCGGCCCCACCCACCTCTCTGGCCTGGACTTCCTATGTCTCCAGGAAGTGGAAGCTGTCTGACTTCACCTAGATAGTGGGTACTGTTCCTCAGGGAACATTGGTCTGTATTCAGTTGAAGACCCTGTGCAGCAGCTCGCACACTTACTCCATTTTCCAGGCATTAACAGCCACACTTTTAAAATTCCCTAACCTTTCATGGTGGAAACGTTCAGCCAGGCATGGTAGTGTATTCCTGTAATCCCAGCACTCTTCGAGGCTGAGAAAGGAGGATCGCAAGTTTGAGCCCAGCCTGGATAACTGAGCGATTTAGCAAGCCCCCGCCTCAAAGTAGAGAATAAAAACATGGCTGGGAATGTAGGTCAATGTGGAGCCCCCAAGTTCAATCCCCAGTACCACACTAAAAAGTAAAAATTCTCAAATACGTCCCCAAATTAAGATATCCACCATCTTAATTCGGTTAACATTTTGCTGTATTCTTTCTGTCAATGTGACGTGGAACGATATGTGAGCTCCCCTTTCTCCGTGCCCATCTCTGGCTGCAGCAATACCAGATTTATGCACCCAAGGAAAGTGAACCTTCTTTGCCTTCCAGTCTCTTCTCGACGACACTGGTCTGGCAGAGGTGTCCACCGTTGCGGAAAAGGTCCTGGATGCCATAAATAGTGGGTTCTACAAGGAAGCCACCCAGCTGTGGGAGGAGGCAGAAGTGATCATTGAAAAGGTAAAGGGGGTAGTGGTGTCCCTGTGGTATAGGGCCTGTGGTCTGTGAGGTCGAGGCGGGGTCTGTCCCGGGTCTCTCCTCTCCGGAAACCTGGAAATGATTACGCATCAGATGATACATCTGATGGCCTGAGCAGTGACATAGTGATCTGTAAGAAGGACTGGGACTTGCAGAGGTGTGTGTTTCGGAGATAATATTTGTTGTGACTTGGATCCTTGCCAGCCAGCGGCTGACTTCAGTGAGCCCAAAGAGAAGACTCTGCTGGCTGGGCACCAGGTGTGCAGGACCCTCCCCATCTCTGGTCTCCTCGAGCAGAGAACTGCAGCCCTTGTGTCTTCTGCAGTCCCGGAGCTGCCGCCTCCCCCAGGAGCGTGGGTTCACCCAGCTGCCTCCTGAGCCTTCCCAGCCTCGTCTCTGTAGGTCCGAGTAAATTTACACAGCTAAAGCCACCCGTGGGAATCTCTCTGCCTTTTTGTTTTGCAACTGTAATGATGGAAGAAGAAGGAAAATGAATAGCCAACTGTACTTGTGTATTTCAGAATGCAGACGGGGTGAACTTCTATAACATCTTAACCAAGAGCACCCCCAATTTGGCCATGGAATCCAGCCTAGAGTTCATGCCGAACTACCTGGGTGAGTGAACCTGGATGCTGTTAGCCCTGCCTCAGCCTCCTGCAGTGAGAAACCCATCTGTTTTAAAGCTTTTTTTTTTCAGTACTGGGGATTGAACTTGGGACCTTGTGCTTGCGAGGCAGGCGCCAGAACCACTGAGCTAAATCCCCGGCCCAAAAAGCTTTTTTAATGTATATTTACATAGCATAAAATTCACCCGTTCTAAGGGTATAATTCCATTGTTTTTAGTATATTCACAGACTTGTGCAATCATCACCATAATCCAGTGTTAGAACATTTCTGTCATCTTCAAAATATCCCACAAGTCTATTTGCATCAGTTCTCATTCCCATTCCCAGCCCCAGGCAACCACTAATCTGCTTTCTGTATCCCTAGATTCGTCTTTTCCCAGCATTCTTTATAAACAAGGCCATATGATAGTGTCATTATTTTTTTTTTCTTGCAGAACTGGGGATTGAACCAGGGAGGGGCTTGCACATGCTAGCCAAGTACCCTATCACTAAGTCATGCACCTGACCCTTTTTGTTTTATTTTGAAACAGAATCTTAAGTTGCCCAGGCTGACCTTGAAGTCACAGTCCTGCTCCATCTGGCCTCTTGAGTGGCTGGGATTACATGTAGGCTTATACCACCAGGCCTGGCATATATTAGTCAACTGGGTTCTGTCACTTAGGGTTGAATTTAATGGCCTTATAGCCAACCTAGCTTCTCTTCAGATGCAGAATACCTGGCATCCCCTCAGTAAGAGGCAAATAAAGGCTGTGAGGAACCCCTAGATTTTACTTCTCAGATGATTTTCCTTGTCCCTTTTGGGTAATGCCAGTGGCCCCTCAGTTAATACTAACAGAGCCTTCCTCCTTTTAACCTGATTCTGACTTTCTTCCTCCCCCGGGATAAATCAGGTAGCGCTTTTCCTTTTCCATCTGAGATGCTCCCTCTTACTGCACTGCTGGAAAAGATGTCCGTACGTCCTGTTTCCAAGCTCTTGACCCACTCTGTACTGGCTTGGTTTTAGCTCGCCTTTCTCAACGCCACGTGCGACACCTGCACCAGGATGCCTTGAGTCAGCTCATGAATGGCCCCATCAGAAAGAAGCTCAAAATTATTCCTGAAGATATCTCCTGGGGAGGTACTTGTGTGACCTAATTAAGTGCCATTTGTAAAGTTGGGAAAAGAGAGGAGGTGCAGATCCAGAGGTCTTCATCAGTGGAATGGCCAGCAAACAATGTTACATCCGCATTTTATAGATGAGCAGGCAGGGGTAGGGTCAGGCAACGACACGCTAGAATGGGTTCCTGGGGTTGGCAGGGAAGTGGGTGGGGAGAGACATGACACATGATTGGGTATGAGCCAATAATTTTTGAAGCCTGCTTTGGGAACATGAGGATCATTATCTTCTTCTCTTTACCTTGTCTCAGTTTGAAATTTTAAGGCAAAAGAGTCATGTCCAAGGCTATGACTAGCGGCAGGTTAGATTTCCAGCCAGAGGTCCTTTGGAGGGAGTCAGACGCACCTGTGTGTGTGGACAGGTTTTAACCAGCTCTCACTTGCTGGTCTCCTGGGCATCCTGATGCTGGCTGTGGTCTGCCATGGACCACATCTGATCTGAAGGTCATAGTGTGGAAATACCAGAGTCTTTAGTGATCGCAGCCAAGTAGAAATCTTGAACAAGTTCCTTCTTAGTCCTGCAGAGAGGCCTTAACACATTCACAGCGGGGCTGTAATTCATATTCTTGGCTGCTGGACGGCTTGAACCACCAGTGGTACATGCATGGCTGTCCCATTGGGTGGCTTTGAGTGTGTGTTCAAGGTACCCCTAAGCTATGTGATCAGGAGGCCCCTTTCTTGTATGGCTGCTTGGCAGTGCTGAGAAACTGAAACTTGTCCCTGGTCCTGGCTTCTCCAGGGATCATGGATGATCCTGTCCCAACCTGCAAGCACCAGGAGGCTCACCCTAGACCTGGTATCCTCATGCTTCTAGATCACATAGGAGGTGGGATGTGGTGTCCATAGCTGCAGGCAGTGGACACAGCTGTGAGGAGCTATGGTGGCACTGAGCATGGGAGGAATCATACGAGTGCAGGTGTGGAGCAAGCTCTTACGAACACATCCTTTCAGCTCACCTCCTTCATTTTATCTTCTTGATGGTATTTTTCCAGCCCCAGATTCTCTGGCTATAGGGAGCCTCTCTCTCCAGTGAGGCTAAATGGGCAAAGTGATTATATTCTTGCAGCTGATTGCTAGTGAAGAAACTCTCTTCGGCTCCAGATGTGTGAGTGATCCAGAAAGGACAGACTGTCCTGGCCACTGTCCCTTGGGCCTTGAGTTGCAGTTTAGAGTGAAACATACAAAAGTCGAATCACCCAGGCCTGAGTTCAAATCTCAGCTCGCCACTGACCAACTATATGTGCTAGGCATAAGTCAAGGCACCTTACTTCCAAAGGTAGTGATGGAGAACAAGTGGGAAGTAGCTTTTGTCTGGTAAAAGGCCCGAAAACCAAGACCAGACCAGGCCACAACAAGCCTTTATTAGGGGAATAGATCTGCCGGGCTGTCTCTAAACAAAGGAGAGACAAAAGCAATATGGCCAGGGCAGGAAGAGTCTTTTATAGAGACTGGGGTGGGGTTTGTAGGGGCTGAGGTGGGGTTGAGTGAGGTAGTGACTAGGGAATGGAGCCGGTGATGTCACTAGATGGTAGGAGGTGAGCGAGTATTAGGTTACTTTCTAGGCAGGAACAGGGGCATGCTGGGAAGAAGGGTTTATTCTTTGGTGGGAGCAACCATCTTGGCATGACGTCACACAGGGGAGGGGGCAAGGCACGATAGGAAGAGGGCAGCTACTATACATAATAGCTGCTGAGGTAGTGGGAGACCTATCAGTTTTTAAGACACTTATTTGGCCCTGTGGCTGGGGCCTAAGTGGCGGCTGCTAGTAGTATTGTTGTCACTCAGTGTGATGACACTGCAAGGGAAGAATCCAGCAGGAGTGCCGTGCTGACTGGCTCTTCTCTTGCCTGGCCTCCTTACCCATGTGGCTTCCCTGAGGCCCAGCTCTAAATTGGCTTGGGTTTGGTTTGGTTTATTATAAGGCAGCCCCACCTGTTTAGAATTTGGAACATGGCCCTGGTATTACCCAGCATAAAAGGAAAACATTGACCCCAGAGTACAGTTTAGTCCCTAGTGGACCTAAAGAGTGTCCCTGGGCCTCTGCCCCACTAACTGCTAGCTCCCAGGTTTCAATTCCTCATTAAAAATGATATCTGCCATCATCTCAAACACCCGACGGAATGGACCACATGTGCTGTTCATGCTTCCTTTCCGTCCATAGCTCAGGCATGGGTCACTGTCTGTGCGGCTCCTGCCACTCAGCCTTTGGTAAGTGCTGTATGGTGGTGACTTTGAGGTGCTAGAGCACAGGATGCTTGGGCTGAAAAGCACCTCTTGTTCTGGCACATTCTAAGCTGCTACCTCTTTCTTGCCTCGAGTAGCCCAGTCTTCTTCCGTCTTCATAAGCATGGAAGAGGACTTCATGAAGCCTGTCATCAGCATTGTAGATGAGTTGCTGGAAGCTGGGGTCAACGTGACTGTATACAATGGACAATTGGATCTCATCGTGGACACCATGGGTAGGCACTGACTCTAAAGCAGGAGCACTGTGGGTAGGAACGTGCCTTGGACGTGTCAGTCTTGGCGTTGGTGACATTGATGTCAGGAGGAAGGCCGTTTCTTGCTGCATCCGTCCACCCTGACCTTGGCTTATCAAAGAGAGGGAAGCTGAATACAGCTGTGATACATCAGAGAAGTCTGGGCCCTGCTAGGTTTTTTGTTTTGTTTTATTTTTGTTCCTTTTTTTCCTTTTTTTTTGGTACTGGGGATCGAACTTGGGATCTTGTGCTTAGGAGGCAGGCGGCAGAGCTACTGAGCTAAATCCCCAGCCCTTTGTTCCTTTTTTGAGATGGTCTCACTATGTAGTTCAGGCTGGCCTCGAACTCTCGGTGATCCTCCTGCCTCAGCCTCCTGAGTGCTGCGATTATAGGTGTGTGCCACCACGCCCGGCCTCTGCTAGGTTTTGAGGAATCTGGTCCCTCAAAACTTGAAGACACTTCAGGTTATGATTAAAGAGTGGTGCCTGCTCCCACTACAAAAATTTCCTGGCTATTGGGCAAAGGCACTATTTAACTGAGGGAAAAGCTTATGTATTAGCATTTTCTTGCCACTGGGACAAAATACTTGATATTTACAGCTTAAGGGAGGAGAGGCTTTTTTTGGCTCATAGTTTCAGAGATCTCAGTCTGTGGATGGTCTGCCAGCTCACAGGCAGAAATGGCCTGGTAGAAGGCATGGAAAAGGAAAGGACAGCAGAGAGAGGAGGAAGGAGCAGAGGGAGCTAGACCCCAGAGCCACACGCTCGGCAACACCATGCCCCACCTCCTAGCACATTTCTCCATGAACACATCAATGAAGGAATCCACTGACGAGCGGAGCACCCCATGATTTAGTCACCTCTCAAAAGCTCCACGCACTTGAGGGTGACATTCTAGATCTAAACCAGAAGCCCTTAGTTTTGCACAGTGTCACAGTAGATGTGAAGCACTGCACACTGAATTAAAACTAAACCCTAACAATCCTCTAGTTGTAACTCTGAGATCCCTGGTACTGCTCTGTGGCCCAGCCTGCCAGCCCTGAGCTCGCTGTGGTGTCAGTGAGGCTGTCAGGTGGAGGGAGTCTCAGGGATGTTCTCAGGAGGCACAGGCACAGCGAGACTCATGCTCCAGCAAATGCAATGCGCCTCTTCTTAACGCCACCAGGAGTGAGTGCTTTTGCACCTTGCAACCTGAAAAGCTTCTAGTTTCTTCCATGAGCTGCCCAGGTGAGCCTCATTCAGTCTCTTCATCCCTGACACTTCTCAGTCTTCTTGACAGCCCTGTCAGCTCCAGAGGTCCCTGGTTCCCTTCCTAAAGAGCAGGCGACAGCAGGAGAGTTAGTGGCAAAAACAGCTTCACAGGCAGCAGTTCTTCACAGCTCAGACATTCCTGGGAACCTGCTAGAAATACAGGTGCTCAGGCCCCACCCAGAACTGCTGAATGAGGATTTGCATTTGAATAAGGCCCCTGTGAATTTTATGCACATAAGATTGGGAAGCACCAAGTTATAGGACCTAGCTCTCCCACACCCCTTTTCTATACTGCTAAACAGCATTACTTTTTTTTTGTTGTTTAAAGAGACATAAAGGGGGCTGGAGATTTAGCTCAGTGGCACTGTGCCTGCCTCATAAGCACAAGGTCCTGAGTTCGATCCCCGGTACCAGAAAATAAGACATAAAGGGATTTATTGGGCAGAAATTTAAAGTATGCACTTAAAGAAGTAGCATGTGGGTCCTCAAGAGAGAGGCAGTTACTATCTAGAGCTGGGTATGCTTATAGGGCTGGGGGGTATCTTCAAGCTGGATCATCTGTGATGTATGTTTCTGCCACCTGTCATGTTACTACCAGCCTGCATCTGGCAGGCTGTGTCACAGTGCAAACCACTACATGTGTGTGAAGTTGAGATCTGCTGCCCATTAATAGTGCTGCTTCCTTGAGGGTGGAAGTCTGTGGAAGGAAGTGCAATTTACAGGTGGAAAGCACAGGCCCAGAGCCCAACTTACTGGCTTATTGATAATCTGGAATGGAGGACAAGAGCATTAGCAAGTTATTGATACTTAAGCTTGATTTTATAACCTGATAAACAAGCAAGGGGCCAAAAATTAAATGTAGAATCTTGGTGAATAATGGCTCTACAAAGTTGAAGAACTCAGACACAATTAGGTAGCGTTTGGTGTAAACCTTTATCTTCAATATTAACCTCTATTTGTTTACCCAAATAAGTGGAGTTTAAGAGCATATGGGCTCTTCCTGTTTTGTTAATAAAAAAAAAAATCTACTGTTCTTTTAATGATAACAATGGTGAAGGAATACACTAAATAAAGATAACTGTTTTGGGGACCATTGGGCCATTAAAACTTTTTCACTATGGGGCTCAGAACTTGGATCTAGCTCCTGTGGTGTAAACCCGAAGACCTTTTGTAGTGACTGGATACAGATAATATAAAGTTAGTTTATACCACTGTACATTTTATACCTCTTACCAGTTTGTCTCGGGAGTAACATAGCTTGTAGTTAGACTATTTCTATTGCCATTCCTATTTTATAGGCACACCTGGATGAGAAGCTAAGTCTACCTGAGGAATACTGGAAAGTATTTTAGAATAACCTAACGAGAATTTATTAAGACGGATGCATTTTTGGAATAGCTACTTGGACAGGGGATCAGAACCTCCTTTTTTTTTTATAAGGTACCGGGGATCGAATTCGGGACCTTGCGCTTGCACCGGAACCACTAAGCTAAATCCCTGGCCCTAGAAGCTCCTTTTGACATAAGTTTCTGCAGCCACTGATGCTGGGCCTTCTTCCTGTTCCTCTCACTAGGTCAGGAGGCTTGGCTGCGGAAGCTGAAATGGCTAGAGATGCCCAAATTCAATCAGCTGAAGTGGAAGGCCTTGCACAGCAGCCCAAAGTCCTTGGAAACGTCCGCTTTTGTCAAGTCCTACAAGAACCTGTCTTTCTTCTGGATTCTGGGCGCAGGTCACATGGTAAGAGAGTGTCAACTTTCATTCCAGGCTTAAGGTCGTTCCAAGTGGAGACCCACAGGCAGTTTACTGTGTGTGTGTCCACTGCCTCAATGGGCCTTAGAAGTACTTCAGGCTTGGGAATGCTTTGGGTTCTCTAGTGAAAGTCTGCTCCAGGTTGACCCTCTCTGATCCAAAAATCCACACTCCAGAATGGTCCAAAATTAAAAACTTCTTGAGAGCCAACATGGCATCGCATGCACCTGATTCGAGGTAGTCAGAACCCAGGGGTACGAAAAATATTGCATAAAATGACCTTGAGGCTGTTTGTACAGGTGATGTTATGCTTGGGTCACATCCTCCTTGTGTATGTGCAGACACTTCAAAATCCGAGAAACTCCGAAACCTAAGAACACTTCTGGTCCCAAGCATTTCAGATAAGGGATACTCAACCTGTATGATTGCCTCATTGCTTTGAGTGTAGACTCATTTTATTGTTTTCTTTTCTTTTTGGTACCAGGGATCAAACTCAGGACCTCGCGCTTGCAAGGCAGGCACGGTGCCACTGAGCTAAATCCCCGGCCCAATATAGACTCGTTTTAAAGAGTAAAACCGGTGGTGAGAGTTGTGCTGAGCGCTTTGTCTTTTTAGGTTTAAAGGTGGCAGGCACATACTTTTCTCTTCACAGTTTGTCCTGGGGGAAAAAGGGAGGAACTTGCCTTTCTCTGGCCATTTGCAGGGAGTACAAATCAAAGCTGGCTGCTCTGTAAACTGAGTCATGGAGGATGGCACAAGAGTCCCCAAGCAGTGGTGGCCAGGGGATTTGTTTAGCAGAGGCTCTGAGCCAGGTGTGGTGGTGCACACCTGGAATCCCAGTACTCAGGAGGCTGAGGCTGGGACAGGAGGATCACTGCCAGTTCAAAATAGTGAGTTCAAGGCCAGCCTGAACTACAGTGTGAGACCGGCCTCAAAAAACCCAAACAAATAAATAGAAGAGGCTTTGAAGCCAAAGATGGGGCATTCGATGACTGCCCTGCAACATATGCCAAGTGAATGTTCTATTTTCCCTTCAGTTATAGGTTGACTGAGTGGCTTTTCGTGAGCTGAGGAAGACTGTGGAGGCCTTAGTCCTGCCCCCAATCCCTGCAAAGGAGTTGCAAAGGAATTAAAGAACGAATCGTGTGGGGTGGAAGTGTAGAGGACTTGCCTAGCATATACAAGGCCCTCAGCTTCAAGCCCAAGCACCACAATAAACAAATAAATATTCAAGTTTAAAAAGAATAAGAAGCATTATCAGAGGCAGAAGGGCCCCAGGCAAATACCTGGGTGTCTCCTGAGTGCTAACCACTGTGCTGTGCAGGTATTGGAGCACAAAGATGGATGATGCGGAGCCCCTGTCCTCCAGGAGCTTATGGTCTAGAGCCGTGGTGGCGAACCTATGGCACGCATGCCACAGCCAGCTGTGTGTAGTGTTGAAAACTCTAAAAGGTTCGCCGTCGCTGGTCTGGGGGGACAGGCAGGCAGATAGACCCTGCACAGCATGGAGAAAGCGGTGCTAAGATGGGGGTGGCCCAGGAAAGTGCCCCCAGGCCTGGCTAGGGGGAGTGGAGGCCTGGGCACCCATGATGAGCAGAGGTGAGTTAGGTAAAGAGGAGAGGCAAGGGCAGCAGCATGTGGAAAGCCTGAAGGAGCCTTCAGGGAGGGAGGCCCTGGGAAGCTGGGAAAGGGGACTCTGCCAACATGCTGGGGAGTTCAGACTGCAGTGTCATGGAGGGGTTTCAGGCAAAGGAGGGAAATTAAGAGATTTGTCTAAGAACTAACACTCTAGTAGCAGGGGCCATGGGGAAGGGCTGGGGTAGAGAGTTGAAGATGAGGCTGTTACGGTAACCCAGGAGGGACAAAAGTGGATGGATTTGATAAAGTATAAGAAAGTCTTCATTGGCTGGGTATAGTGGCCCACACCTATGATCCCAGCTGCTCTGGAAGCTGAGGCAAGAGAATCCCAAATTTAAGCCCACCCTGAGACCCTGTCTTAAGATAAAACTTTTAAAAGGGCTGGAGATGTGTAGCTCAATGCCTAGCCTGTATGAGGTCCTGGGTTCAATCTGCAGCACTGGAAAAAGAAAGGAAAAAAAGGCAGGGGGAAGAATTGGCAATTATTTGGGATAAAAAGAAATGATGGTTTCCTGGGGTCCCCAGAGCAGCCAGTGACTTCTCATGTCAGGTGCTGCTGCACACCCAGATAAGGGACTGAAACGCGGGCCATGACGTGGCCCCTGGTTCTCCCACGGGCTCGGTGGGCACTTCTGGTGGAACGGCAGGCTGAGGGCGGGGTGGAAAGGTTGGGGACCGTGGGTGAATAGTGAGTGGGAGAAGCTGACAACCTCCTTCAAGTGGAAGACCGTAGCCCAGCCTTTGAAGAGAGGACAGATGAGGCAACAGGGCACAGTGGAAAGGGGACATTATTTATGGCCCTGGGGATCTGGGGACCTTTAGTAATGCCTGGGGAAGTGCTAGCAGGGAGTCTGCGAACCAAACACTGTCACTGTGAGCCACCTTCACCCTCTGCCACTGGGGTTCAGACCCATTTCCTCTCACTTTGTCACATTCAGAAGAGACCAGCTGAGGACAGGCTTAAAATATTCCCTGGAGACTGTTTTTCAGTCACCCCCTCTACTTCTCCTTTAGTTGATTAAATGTCATTTTAGAATGTCCCGCTGTGTCACCTCCTGGGGACGCCTGCTTGGCAGGAGAGTCCAGGACAGGGATGTGCCAAGAGAATCGTGAACTGGGGGATTTCAGACCCGAGAGACCATCTCTTCACCCCTCTCTTTGTGGAAGAGAGACTGAAGCCTCTGACCTTCCCCTTTCCGTGGTGTGTGGGAAGGTGGTTTTTGGTTTTATTTTGTTTCTCATAGTGCTGGGGATCAAACCTAAGTCTTATGCATGGTAAACATGAGCCTTTCCACTGAGTATATCCCTAGAGCAGCAAAGAGATTCTTTAAAGGATTTATTCTAAAAAGCTTAGGGGAAACAAAAGAGACGATGCAAAACTTTGAATGCTGTCCAAACCAAGGGCCTGTTTGCTGCTCTCCTGTTAGCCTCCCTCTCGGCCTCTTCTGCACTTTGTACCCAATCTGGGATCCTCCTATACAAAGAATTGTGTCAGATGTTGAGTGTCTTCCTTCTTGAGCAGGTGAGGTCCCGGTACCCTGAGCATAGCCTCTGTAAAGGAACCAACAGGTGCTGGGGTTGGGTGGGAGTGTGTAATGCAGTGGTAGAGCACTTGCCTAGCATGTGTGGGGCCCTACCCTTCATCCTCAGCACCCAGGACAAAGAATAGACGTCAACAGACGAGCCCCCAGCAGAGTAAAGGTTCTTTTCTAACAGCCGACTTCTCCAGGCCTCTGTCACTCAACACAGTGGGGGCCCAGCGGAGCTTCTGTCCAACTTGGGCGGTTTCCAGAAGGGCCCTCACCTTACAGGGTGCCCCAAGGTGCAGCTGTCCTCACACTTGTCACAGAGCTGGCTCTCTTCTAGGAGCTGGGCTTCAGGGTGTTGCCCTCACCCTGCTCAGGAATGGCAGTAGGAACACTAACTCGCCTGGTGCTTGCTTCCAGGTTCCCGCTGACCAAGGAGACATGGCTCTGAAGATGATGCGGCTGGTGACTCAGCAGGAGTAGGTGGCCCTGGGGACACAGGAGCGGACCACGGATGCTGGAGCACGGGGAAACTCGATCTGTCGCCTCCAAGTCCAGCGTGGTCCCGGATGATGAAGGCTCCTCCCAGCACCTGCAGAGACCAAAAGCTCACCCTCTGCAGTGACTTGGAAGTCATTTTTGCCTTTTTTTTTTTTTTTCAGGTTTTTGAGACAAGGTCTTGCTATGTAGTCCAGACTGGTCTTAAAATTAACTGTGTTGCCCAGGCTGGCCTTGAACTCACAGCGATCCTCCTGTCTCAGCCCTCAGCCTCTCAATCTGCTTAAAAAAACAAAAAAACAAACAAACTTAAGTTTTAAAAAATGGATTATTCTAATCAAAATGAAGAACTGTGATAGATTGACTTGCTCTTATTTTGAAAGAAAATGATGTGATTTACTAAAAAAGTGAGAAACACAGTTAAGCAAAGAACAAAATCAAAACTTATGTGCTCCCTTCCTGGGGAGAAGCACGCTCACCAATCCAGTGTCTGTTCCTGCAGATGTCTTTTTGCTATACATGCATATTTTTTTAATAAAAATTGAATCATTACTGTATTATTTTACTGTCTACTTTGTTCATGTATCAGTATATCCTAACCACCTTTCCATGTCAATAAATGTTCTTCTGTAACATTTCTAATGGCATCTGAACATTTCATTTTGTAGTTTGACTGTTTACCAAATTCCCAATGGTTTCCGACAAGTACTTTCTAATTAGTCACTATTGTAAATGGTACTCTGGTGATTCATCCTGAAATTTAGGGTTTTATGCACGTTCTTACTATTTCTTTATAGTGAATTTGTAAAAGAAAGATTATTTAGTTGAATGATTATTACATTTCTTTAAAATTAAAGTGATGAGTTTTGGACTTAATTTTTTTGTGTTTGTTTTTTGAGACAGGGTCTTGCTATGTAGTTCAGGCTGGCCTTGAACTCATGGCAGTCCTCCTGCCTCAGCCTCCCAAGTGCTGGGATTACAGGTGTGCGCCACCATGCCCTGCAGGACTTTTAATTTTTAATTCACAGCTCAAGTCTGCACAAGGGACCTCAAGGCTTCCAAGCTTGTCCTGGAAGAAACCCCACTTCCTGTAGTTGTAGGATTGTTTTGAAAACCAAACCCTAAATGTATTCCTGCAGAATGTGAGGGTAGACTTACTGCATGACCCACCCGTCAGGACCCTGAGCCTACCCCAGGCTTCCTGGGCAGAGAGCACAGGACCCCGAGGCCACTGCTAATGAGCAGCACTCCAGCATGCCCTTGGAAAATACAAGAGGCTTTTGCTGGACCTTCCTGGACTCTGCCAAGTCATCGCTTTCTTCCTGCTGCTTTTGCTGTGTATCCTTTGGTATTAAAGAAAGAATGAAAAATTAGCTATGAGCATAATCTGCTTTTGAGTTTTTTAAGTCCTGGTAAACCACCAGACACAGCATTGAATTACAACCCATTGAATTTCCAGCCTCACAGTGTCCTATTCAAAATGAATAGATTGTACTGGGGGTGTATCTCAGTGGTAGAGCATGTGCTCAGCATGCATGGGGCCCTGGATTTGACCTCCACATTAGGAAAAGTCTGTGCCAGATCCTAGTAATCCAGGACTTAGAAGAAACATGACTATAAAATTAATGACAAGTTGATCTGAGGAAGAGGTACGAAACTAGACCTCTCTGCGTGGCAGAAAAGGAAAATATTTCTGTTCCATGTGAACCAAAGTGTGAAGAAAGATTGTAATAATAGGGTGGGTGGACATTGGACAGCCTCCTGCTCCAGCCAGTCTGATGGGCTATGAGCAGAGTGCCCATGGTGACAGATGGAAGCTATGCACGGGCCCAGCAACATGGGCTTCCACTCACCCAGGCTCCCCTGGCTACGGCCACTGTGGAGCCCTAATCTAGCAGCAGAGACAACACTGAGGCCCCTCATTGGTCATGTTACCCCGCGTCAGCCAGCCACCGAGGTTAGGCTGGTTACGCTGGACCAGTTCCTCATGGAAGGGGCAACGCTGTCCTTACTGGAATTGATGCTTGCTCTGGACATAGATTTTCTTCCCTGCCCACTGTGTTTTTGCCAAAACTACAGTCCAGTCTGGGGACCTATGAATGCCCTGTCCATGCTCATGGCATTCCCAGAAAATGAAATGCAGCAGTGGAATTATTCATGGGGAATTCATAGGTTTTACCATGTTCCTTGCTTATCCTCTTGAAGCAGCTACCATAACAGATGGCCAGATGGCTTTTTGGAAATTCGCTTACAGCACCAGCTGGGAGGAGGCCCCTTATAGGACACAGGCATCATCTCCAGGGTGTGATGTGTGTGCTAAGTTGACCTCAATGTTTCCCCCATACTCAAGATTTGTGAGTCCAAGAGTCCAAGGATAGCAATGAAAGTGACTCCTCTCACTATTGGCTTTACTCAGTAGTGTTCCAGTAATAAACTTTGTGCCTCCTATTCCTGCAACTTATGCTGTTTTGGTCTAGAGGTCTCGGTTATTATTATGGCTTCTATCTATATATCCCCCAAAGCCTCATGTGCTCATAGGCAGGGCTTTGAGGAGGTGACTGGATTATGGCTGTGTGGCACTAAATTAGTCTATTGATAGGTTTATAGCTGTGTGTGGTGGTGGGAGATAAAGCTTGGTGGGAAGAGCTTTGATGCCACACTGCTTCCTGCCTGCCATACCATGGACTGTTTCTCCTCTGTGATGCCCCTCTGCCATGCTGTCTAGCCTTGGAACCAGCTGACTGTGGCCTAAAGCCTTTACAGACTGTGAACCAAAATAGACCTCTTCTCTAACTTGTAGGTGTCAGGTATTTTGTTTCAGCAACAAGAAGGTAACTAAGACAGTTACAAAGGGAGAACTGTTCTCACCAAGGAACACGGTAAAATTCTGTTGAATTGGAACTCAAAGCTGCCATCTGGCCTCCTTGGGCACTGCACCAACAGGCAAAGCACTGGCTGGTGTAATTGATTCCGACTTCTGATTATCAAGGGGATATCAGGTTGCTACTATATGATGGCTGGAATGAGGAAGAATGCAGGACATTTTCTGGAACACCCCTTAATGCTCCCATATTCTCTGTGTAAGGTCAGTGGGAAGCTGTAACAATCCAGTGTAGACTACTAATGGCCCAGACCTTTACAAAAGATGTGAGTCATTTCCTAAGGCAAGGAACCATGACCAACTGAGGTGCTTGCGAAGCACAAAAGAAATGAGAGATACAAGCCAGGCATAATAGCACACACTTCTTTTTTTTTTTTTTTTTTTTTTTTCTGGTACTGGGAATCGAACTCAGGTCCTTGCACTTGCGCAGCAGGCTGCAAAACCACTGAGCTAAACCCCTGGCCCAATAGCACACACTTCTAATCCCAACTATTCAGGATGAAGCAGGAAGAGCACAAGTTTGAGGCCAGTGGGGCAACTTTGTGTTTCAGAAAAGGGCTGCTGACTTAAGTCAGTGGGGCACACTTGGCTAGCATAGGCGAGGCCCTAGATTTAACTCAGATCACTACTGAGCTATGCACCGTATATGTAGTAGGTGACAATAGCTGAGATCTTGTGACCTGTTGTAATATAATGTATTTCTTCTTTATTTTGACATGAATATATATGAATAATATTAGGCAAGTATTTTTATTTCTGTCTCCTCTCTCATCCCTTTATCATCTGATGTGTTAATAGATAACTTTACATGCAAGTATTTTACAAGACGTCAGGGAGGGAGTGTGAGTCAGCTACACAAAAAATGAAAAATATTCAAAAATAAAAAAGGGCCTATAATGTTCTCCTGGGAGAGAAAGTTACTGTTTTTGGTTGTAAGAGAGATAGTTGTGTCATGTTAAGCAGAAGTCCAACTTAGTTACTGTCTCCATTTAGAGATTAAGTATGGTTTAAACCCCATGTACAGGTATCAAGTTGGCAAGGGTTGGACAGTAGGGTCTTTGTAATATTTCAGCCTGACTAAATTGAATTGCATTTTCCAGAATTACCTTTTCTCTTTCCCTTTCTTTCTTTCTTTCTTTCTTTCTTTCTTTCTTTCTTTCTTTCTTTCTTTCTTTCTTTCTTTCTTTGGGGGGTACCAGGGATTGAACTCAGGCAGGCGCTCTGCCACTGAGCTACATCCCCAGCCCTCTTGTATGTTTCTGGTTAGGGCCCATAGGAGAAATTCTTGTGGACATTAGAAGGATGGAAGTAAAGCAACAGCTGTTTTAATCTCAGATATGTAGTCATTTCTCTGCTAGCACAGCTTGTTAGCATCCAGGCTCACAACGACTTCATCTTCACTCGGTTCCAGGGCCAGACAAGAGTTCTTAGTGCTGTGACAAATCACCCAGGAACGTGCCCGTGCTCCGGTCCTGTACATTGTCCTCAGGGGCCCCACTCTATGCTTGGGTTCACATCATTCTTGTTCTTCTCCACTTTACATCCACCACACTTCCCTCATGGCCTGCCCTGCACACAGTACTTCAATCTCCAGCATCAGATTTGTAGACAGTGGCCTCGCAACCAGCTTCCGACCAGCTCTGACACAGCACAGGTCAAATCCTTCTAACACATGTGTGCGCGCACACACACACACACACACACACACACAGAATTCTGCTCCCCTGAGTAAATCCTGATTAAATATAGGTATTTAAACTTAATTACTTTAATGGACTCAAAATTCCCTGTAACAGGGATCTGAATACTTGACAGTGTCATTCTGTGACCTACATATGTGAGCAGCAACTTGTTCAGATTTTGCATCTGTATGTGATACCAGGGATCAATCCCAAGGCCTTGCACATGCTAGGCAAGAGCTTTACCAGAGCTACATCTCCAGCCCTTGATCACATTTACAGTGGACCCTTGACTTCCAAACTCAGTTTGTTCCTGAGGGCTGGCTGTAACTCAAGTTGGTCAATTGAAGGCTCAGGCTCCTCTATGCAGCCTTCAAAATCTCTCTCCTGTACACAGGCAGATCTCATGGTCCTTAGGGAGACATTGGCCCAGGATTTCTCTATCAACCCCACACAGGAAAGGATGTTGTAATGTTCCTTCTAGAACTCTATAAGGGTTGAATCTGTATCTGAGACCATCTGGAAGCACAAGTGGCAGGCATTCAGGTTGTAACTCAAGACTTTGGTCTTAAGTTAAAACTAAAATTCTGGTCATAACCCAAGTTCTTCATATGCCAGGCCAGTCATAACTCAATGATTCACTGTAGTGATCTTGAGACATGTCTTTCTTTTCTGTGTGTGTGTGTGTGTGTGCGCGCGTGTGTGATGCTGGGGATTGAATCCAGGGCCTCTGCACTGAGCTACATCCCCAGCCCTTTATTTTTTATTTTGAGACACCATCTCACTAAATTACACAGGCTAAGCTTGAACTTGTGATCCTCCTGCTTCTGACTCCCAGCGTGCTGGGATTCCAGGCTTGGCCATCACACCTGACTTCACAGCTTTCCCTTCTTATTGGCATGTAATGTTGCTGACAAATGTGAACCCACGTGACTTGATTCTTCTGCCTTGAAAACAATCAGTTTACTTTAATACACGGATGCTGTAAATGTCTTTGTTTAATCTTGTAAATTGATAACTTAAGGTGGCTACATTGATGTTTCTAGTTTTTAATTAATTTTGTCTGATACACAGAGGCT